TAATTCTTTCCTGGGTACAGGAGACTTTGGGCTTTTACGCGCAAAGCAAGGACAGCTGAAAAGCGGGTCCAAGCACCAGACGCCCCCATTCCTCCGCAAACCGCACCTGACCTTGAATGGCCCCTAGCCGAGAAATTCCTACCACGCCCCCGCCACTACCAAGCGAGCTAACCTGACCATACCTGCTCCCAGATAGGGAGGGGGAAAGGGAGGAGCAAGGGATGGGAAGAGATGCGAAGGAGAAAAGGGAGGAGGAGGACTGGGTGCTTGCTCCTCGGTCCGCGCACTCCCCGGATCCGGGAAGGTCAGGCGGCGGCGAGGCACTGTGCTCCGAGAGGAAGTAGTGGCATTTGGACGTGACGCCTAGTTAGAGGTCCGTCCACGGCCTCTGTCTTCGGCCCCCTGCCCACCGGCTCTCTATACCTGGTGACGAATTCAACTGAAGTAATGAAGGCAGTATCGTGCTGTCGAGAGAAAGGTGGAGCCCCAACAACAGGAAACTACCTAAATCACAGACCAGTTCTGCTGCTCCCCCAAGGCCCGGCTCCTTATGTAGGGATTCCTCTAGAGAGAGAAAAACAAAATCAGGTCAAACCCTAGACCAAGGCGCCGCCGCTCCAACCTGCCCGGGGCCGCCGCCGCGTCACCGCCACCGCTGCAGTCTTATGACTGCTTAAAATGGGAAAAGGAAAAGAAAAGAGAGAGAAGGGAGGGCGAGAGGGACAGAGGGATAGGGTGGGAGGAGGGAAAGGAAGAAGAGGGAGAAAGAGAGCGAGAACGAGCAAGAGAGAAGAAAGAAAATGTGTGTGTGTGTGTGAGAGAGAGAGAGAGGGAGGGAGGGAGGGAGGGAGGGAGAGGGAGAGGGAGAGAGAGGGAGAGGGAGAGAGAGAGAGATCTGGTGTGTGCGTTTGTTTTTCCCAAACCTTCAAGTAGGGCGAATCGTGGAGAAAAGGGGAGGGCGTTAATGGGTCTACCATAAAGCCCTAAAGGACTGAGCTGAGCATCGGGTTCAAAGTCTGTCCTGGAGGAGCTTTGGCCCAGCGGCTTGGACTAGCCAAGCCTCCCGGGACTGTCCCTCACTTCCTTCTCCCCCTCCTCTTCCTCTTCTCTTCAAACACTCCCCCAGCGCCCTCTCGGTGTCGTCCCTCCCCCCCCCCCCCCACTCCCACCTTAATTTGGCAGGGCAAAAGCCTCCTTGCCTCGCCAGGTTGGAGCAACAAAGTAAACAGAAGGCCTGGAGTGGGAGTGGGGGTGGGAGAAGGTGAAGGGGGAGGGCAATCACAATTGAGAGGAGCTTGTGGGGAGGGCGAGTTGGGCTTGAGGCACCCCTATCTCTAGCCATCCTCCATCTCCCTTGTAGGGCTCACCTTCCCAGCAGCTCCTGGGGCATCCGAGGGTTGTGGGTGGCACCTATGGCCTGCTTCCTGCCTAGGAAGAGACCTCGATTCATTGAGACTGGGTGTCGGCCGCAAAACAAAACAAAACAAAAAAAAAAAATCGATCTCTGATCCATTCTTTCCCCTCCAGAAATACTCTGTGGCTTCCTCTGTCTATGCAGCTCCTCACTCGACTGAAACCACTCGCTCGTCCAAGTCAGCAACAATCCAGATATACTAGCAAGTCATAAAAAAAGGAACAAAAGCCCACAAACCTTAGAGCCGCATTGCTCTACGGCCGAGACAAATTACGACTGTCTAGGTAATATTTAAATGGATGCCTCGAGTAATTGCAGGGAGCCCAGGCACTATTCCTGTTGTAAAAGTTGGGGACGAGATAAAGTGGGTGGTGAAGATAAACAATCACAAAAGAGGTAAAATTAAAAGGCTTCATTCCACAGCTTTTATTCTTCTATATAAGAACATAAACATTGTCCTTTTTTTTTTCACGCACAGCAGCATTACAATATTAATTTATTCTGATTTAAGGTAAGAAGTAAATAGAGCTAGGACTAACATTTATAATAACGATAGAATGCATTTGCTTAAAACAGTATTGGCAATTCTTTAATAATAGACATTTATACAGATTTGTATTTAGACTTCTCTGTGTTTCTGCACCTACAGGTTTGACCCTTTTATGCATGTAACTTCACAGTATAAAGGAAATCCGAACAATGCCTCCCTTTCTCTCTTCTACCCCCTCTGCTAGAGTCCTCTGAAGGGTCCCATGAATTTCAGTGAGCAAAATAAAAGCGAAATTTACTCCCCCCCCCCTCCTCATAAGGCAGGGAGAATTGTGTGTGCTTGTCATGTGCTACCAGTGGTAACATTACTTAGAGACAAAAATCCACTAATTCCACATAATATAATAAGCAAAACTACATTAGGTCACTATCTACAACAGGGAAGATAGCGGGAGTCAGAGGTAAGTGTGAACATTTAATACCAGAGCAGCACAAGACCTTCATGGAGCCAAGAGAGGTCTCCCTTTCCTGCTCAGTTTTTAAAGCTGTGATAGTTTGCAGAGAAAAGAGAGAAGAAAACTCTCTCTCTCCCTCATTCTCCCTCTCTCCATCTTTCCCTCCTCTCTCCCCCAAGACAATGTCATGTCCTTGTTTTCACCCTGCGTGTTCGAGGTGGTGAAGGCCTTCCCTTCGAAAGGAAAGAAACTAGGAACTTGAAGGCAAAGAAACAGTCTCTCTCTCACACACACACCGCCACCCCAGCTTTGACCTGAACGCGGCCAAAATGGAAAGCCTCGACTACTCACCCATCACCTCCCCATAGACACCTTAGCGCTTACAATGTCGCCAGAATCGCCTGGACTCGGAGACTGGCTAGACACGCACTGCCCTCTGAGAGACGACACTTGGCTCATGGAAGGAGTGGGGAACCAGGGAGGCGAGCAAGCTCAGCCCAAGACGTCGCTTGATGTGACAGCCCGTTTTGTTTGTTTGTTTGTTTGGAGGCATGGCTCCCCCTCCCCATTCACCCCTAGAAAACAAGACAAACAAACCAAACACTCCCCACCCAATCCCGCCTTGCAAAGCTGCTATGGATAGATGGAGAATAGAGAAAGGGGTGGGGGAAAAAACAACAGCAACAACTCGTGACTCCGGGTGATACAGGTGCGAATCTCTAGCGCCTAGGAACAAGGGTTACTGGCTCTTTTCACCGTCAAAACGTGGTGTCGTTTGGAGGTTCATCAAGAAAAGTTAAAGTTGGCTGTGAGCTCTCGGATTCTGTTTTCACGGTTCATTTTCTTCAGTTTCATCCGTCGGTTCTGAAACCAGATCTTAACCTGTCTGTCTGTGAGATGGACGCTGCGGCTGATCTCTAGGCGCCGCTCTCGAGTTAGGTACATGTTGAAAAGAAATTCCTTCTCCAGCTCCAAAGTCTGGTGCTTAGTGTAGGGGCATCGCTTCTTCCGGCCGCTCTTTGCAGTGAGCCAGTTAGCTGCGTTCTCACCTTTGGCGTTGCCTGGGGTCGAAGAAGAGAAAGCAGGGAAGAGAAAGAAGGGGAGGGAAAAGTAGAGGAAGGAACAAGAGAAGAGGAAGGCAAGTTACAGCGAGGCCCTCATTAGAGCACAGCACATCGAGGACTGTGGCTGGCAGGAGGCGCCGGCTCTGACTCAGGCTCCCGGGGAGCCCTCGGGCTTCTTTGGCCCAGGACGTTGTTGAAAGGCCTTTCCCGCACATCGTCCCTAATGGACCCCAGACTGTGGAAAGGGAGGGGGGGAGGGCTGAAAGCTAAAGAGAGAAAGGGGTTCAAATCTCCCCTTTGGTCATGCCGAGGAGGGGGGCAACTTCATTAAAAGACATTTTCTAAAGGCCTCCTGCTTCTCTCTTTCCCCTTAAGAACACCCCACACTCCCCCAAATTGCGTTTTAATTGGTTTTCCAAACACCTGTTTTCACACAAAGGGAACTAGCGGGGAGGGCGCAGAGGAGAGCTTGGAAGCGAATGCTGGGCACAGGGAGAAGGGCGGCCGTATATCTTGAACTTAACGCCTTTCTTTGCCTTTCCTTCCCCTTCGCAGACAAGCATTTCCTTTGCCCCCCTGAGCTTGGGGGCAGGGAGTTCCATTATTGCCCAAGGGTCAGCAGAGGAAAGGCTTGGGGGAGGGGACCTTGGCTGCTGCCCCAACCGGTCTCTACTGGACTGAGGATGGGCGTGGGGATGGTGGGAGACGGTTGAATTTGTGCCAAAAGGAAAGAGGAAAAACAATCAATTGGGTGTCATCCCTAACCCCCAGCCAAGAATATAAGAACTTGGGGAATTTCAAGGTAAAAGGGGGGGGGGAAGCCCTACTATGCTATGACTCCAAGCTCTAGGTCTGGGGTAGGCTGGACTGGGCTGGGGGTGTCAGAAGAAATTCCCTGCAACTGCTCCTTGGAAGGAGGATCTCTTAGCGACTGTGACTTTGCAAAAGACATTTGGGATCGTAAACTACAACTTCCCCGTTAATAGGGCTTATTTATTGGCGCCGGCGGCTGATTATTTTGGAAGCTTTACAAACAGCCTTGTTATCTGCGAACCACCTTCTCCTCGCTGGGGGGGGGGGGGGGGGGGGGGGGGGGCAATTGGGCTAGGGATTCTGACAAGGAGGAAGAGGATGGTAAGGAGGAGGTGGTGGAGGGGAGTTGCTCCCTGGCCTGCTGGTCTTGATCACCTCCAACCTAGCTAGCCTGGTGAACGAGCCTGGGGCTAGAGAGCAGAGGCAGGGTGTAGGCAGCGATCTAAGCCGGACATTAATTTTTACTGCGTCCCCACGCCCAAATATTAAAAAAAAAAAAAAATGCTAAACCAAGCTCACAAGGTCAGCTGGAGTGGAGCTGCGTCCCAGACCGAGCCTGCCGGCTGCTGGGTTCCCTCTTCTCTCCTCGGGGTTCCTTGCCGGCTCTCTGCTATTTCGGGGGCTCTCTACCTCCGACTTTCTGGTCTCTCCCTTCTCTCTTTTTCTTCCCCTCCCTCCCTTCCTCTCTGTCCTCTTGTTTCGTTCCTTCTCTCCTCATTCTTTCCTGGTCTTTCTGTAACTGGCTTTCTCTCTCGTTCCTGCTCCCTCTCGGCAGGTTCGTGGCTTAAGCACACTTACCTATGGGGTCTTTCTCCGGAGAGGGCTTGCTGCTCTCCGAGGGAGCGGGGGACAGTTCCTCGGCGGCGGAGGACGACGCTTGTGTGTCTTCCTCCGCAGCCTGGGATCCACAAGCTAAGGCCGTGGGCGGAGGTGACTCGAGGGAGCTCTCCTTCCTGCCTGTCTCAGCCGAGACCGAAGCGAGAGCGGGCGGCGAGTCGAAGCGAACTTGGGGTTGCTGGGGGAACGGGGAGGCGCCCAGCTGAGTCCCCGATGCTGCTGCGGCCACCGCCGCTGCCGCCGCGCTATAGCTCTTCGAGCTGCCGGTGCCATAGGCTTGAGACAAGCGGAAATAGCCCGGGACCGGCACGCCGCCGCCCCCGCCCCCGCCGCCGCCGCTGCTGTTGAGGACGCAGACCTCGGGAGGGCCCCGCTGGGGAAAGGAGGCTAGCTCTGGGGCCGTTGAACTTTTGGGGCATTTGTCGGAATCATAGAGACAATAGGAGTTTTCCTCTTTGATGTTCTGAGCGAAGGAGCAAGAGGTCGCTGGCTGCTGTGGCTGTTGCGGCTGCTGCTGGTGGTGGTGATGATTCTGGGGCTGTTGCTGGTTCTGGGACTGTTGCTGCTGGTTCTGCTGGGGCTGCGGCTGGTGATTCGGGGGCTGCGGACCATCCGGCTGCTCCATTCGGCACGACCTGGGGCCGTCTAGCCAGACCTCCATGCCTGACATGTAAGGGTGAGACGAGGGCACCATGCCCCCCGGAGAGCCTCCACCTTCATTGCGTTTGCTCAGCACCGGGAAAAGCCCGCAGCTTTGCAGACCGTAGGACAGCTCGGACGCCTGTGGCAGGTAGTGAGGGTAATAGCCGCCTCCTCCTCCTCCTCCTCCTCCGCCGCCGCCGCCGCCGCCGCCGCCGCCACCTCCACCTCCTTCCCCTCTGCCCGAGCTGATCAGCGAATCCACCAGAAAAGAGTTCGCGGCCGGGCTCTCGGAGCATGACATTGCTGTGGGATAATTTGGCGAAGGGAGCAGATAGCCCTTTCTGGCTGACATTTCTTGTACAAAACATGCTGAATAGGGTTAGAGATCCCCCCGCACCTCGGCGAGCTACCGCAGCCAATGAAGAGCCAGGGTTTCCCAGCGACCCCTCCCAGTTTGGTTTCGTAGGCGCTGTGCTGCTCTCAGGTCGACCTCTGAATTGAGAATTTATATAAATATGTAATGTATATTGATGGGCCCGGAGACACACTCCCCAACACCTAGGGCTGGGGCTCAGGACTGGGGGCGCGATCTTGACCGGGATTTTGGACTAATCACCAGAGCCCTCAGTCCCCAAGTCATGCACCCCATTTTCATGGCGGGAGGGGGGAACTAAGCTCATCTCTGTAGCGCTCCTGGGCCCTGATATCAGATAGTAAACAAGTGGGGTGTTTATGACGCCTCCGACATAGCGCTATCCGGGAGCCCGAGTCTGCCCTTGGCTTGTTCCAAAAGCCTCTCTCTGGATAACGCATGTACATGAGCTGACTTAAGTAAAACTACATACACACGTCTCTTGCTCCCCCTCTCTTTTTCAAATTTTGATTTGGGGCGGAGGGTGGCGGGAAGGTCAGTGGCCTCCCAGTATCTTTTAGCCCTGCTATTTTTCTCTCTGCCCAGTTTAGGGGGCAAAAGAGATCTTGGCCGGGATCTGGCGTTAAATTCTTGAAGAGTTAGTTGTCCCCAGAGAATAAGGCTAGCCTGGGATCCCAAGTGTCAGTTCTGGTCCAAAGCAGGCTCTCAGCTTCAGCTGAGAACCCAGGCAGCTCGGGCAGGGCTCCGAAGAGGAGTAAGGCGAAGCGCCTCGGGCCAAGGCAACGAGCTGGACGGAGAACTAACGAAGAGGGAACGAAAGAGAAAGGATCCTGGAGGGCCAGCCGCCCAGAGAACGAGCACACCTCTCCCGCACACAAGGGGTTCCGGCTGGCTCCCTGCCCCGCTAGCTCTCCTGCCCTCGTTTTGGTTTCTCTTGTAAGTGAGGTAGGCGCTGCGACTTATCTCCCTGCTCTCGGATCCAACCACAGCGTCTAGGTCTACGCCGCACTCGGTCTGTTTCCTAACCTTAGCGGCTACTCCGCTTCCTCTCTGGCTGTGTTTGCTTCAGTCTGTTGACTGTGGTTGTTATTGTTATTTCAAGAATCTATTTAGCACAGTGTATGCAAACGATCTCTGTGATTTCTAGCCCTTCTAGATCTGACATTCTGGGATTGGGGACTTTTAAAAGGTCTACCTCGAAATCCCACAGAAGGCAGCATTGAGTACCTGGGCCTGGGAACGAAAGCCTGGAAGGAAAGGCCAGGGCCTAGCTTCTTCCCGGCTTTGGCATTGGATAAGCAGACTGGAGACTTCTCTCTTTCCCCGCTTTTTCGGTTTCAAGCAGAGTAGACAGAGGGAGGCTAGGGAGCCGGGACCAGTGCTGTCTTGCTCACGAAGGTAGCACAGTGTGATTCTCTTTCCTAACAAATCTAAGAATTCTTAGATCATTGGGAAGCCTCCTAGAGCCCATCTCCGCGGATAGAAAATCAATTTTCCCAAATAAAACCAAACTCAAATTCTACTTCTTTCTTCCCTCCCCCCCAACAACATTCTTATCCACAGGCTGCTCCTTCCCCACCAGCTCAACACTTCAGAGGGAGCAAAGAGGGTATAAGGGATGTGGGGAAGGGACGAAAGAGAAGCGGGATCGAGAAGAGGGAGGAAACACGGCCGCCCAGGCTCTGAACGCAGTCCTCTTCCCCTGCCTTTAGCCTTGGCTTTCACACAATCTCGGAGGATCTGACAAGAATCAGTGTCACTGCTAGGCCCCCCCTTCCTGCTTCTTGGTTTCCCCCTCCCCTCTATCCTCCTCCATCTCCCCCCTCCCCTCCAAACCGCATCGATCTGTCAGCCATGTGAATATTTTAACATGGGTCTCAGTTGAGGAAATTCCCTTCCAGGTTGTGACAGACTCCAGGACAAGTTATTGGGGAGTGGGCCGGTCAGGCAGCAGGGCAATCGGGATGACTTTCCATAGGAGGGGCCGTCCCTCAGCCTCCTCTCTCTCCTTCCTCATCTTGGAGGGTCCCTCCTTGCCAACTGTAAATGCCAGGGTATGGGAGAGGTTGTCACAACTTTCCCTAGCCCCATAAAAAGTTTATGGAAAGGCGACGTTCTCCGGGTGTAATCAAATGGACCCCAGGAAGTGGCTGTCTTTATAACAGGGATCGAGGACCAGGCCCAGGCATCCGGCGTAGGTTCTGTGTCTTCACTGGCCTCCCTGCTTATCCTCGCTATTTCCTGAGTCTCCCTCTCTTTCCCACCACCCCCAACTCCTTGCTCAGTGTTCCCAGAAAATCCCCCCTCCAGCCCATACCTCCTGCCGGCTCAACCCCCACCCCCACCCCCCACCCCCATTTGCTGGCTGACCTACAAGGCTCCTCATGCGCCGGAGTACTCTCAGTGCAATGAAACTCGAGCCTTCGGCCCACGCTCCAGATCCTTTCTCAGCCCACAGCAGGTATAAAGCTGGGCTCCCTGGGGCAGGTTTCTCCCAGCTCCTCTTGGCTTGCCTGGCCACGGCCAAAGGAAGGCCTGAGCCCCGGCCTCACCCAGGGCCCTTTGCCGACATGCAGAGCGTCTCTGGGAGGGAGGCCCTCAGAGCGGCCAAGGCCAGAGGCGAGAGGGGCCCCCATCAGCCACAGCTCCTAGGCTAGCCAGAGGAGAAGTGGGATAGGGATCTGGCCTGCCGGACCAGGCCCTGTGCTTCTCTCCTCCTGTCTACTCGAGAAGTGCAGAAACCTAAGATCTGGCCCAGTCCCAGACAGAGGCGCCCCCCTCCCGCAGCACCCCTCCTCCCCTTTCCTTCCAGTTCGCCAGTCCCCGTGTTTTATCCGATACACTTCATCTGCCAGGCGGTGGATGCTGCAGCCGGACCCAGGAAAGGGTTCAAGGAGAAGAAAAAGGAGGAGGGCAGGGAGGAAGAAGGCAAAGAAAAAGAACGGGTAGGCCGGGGCCTCTCTGCCTGGAGCAGGGGCTAAGGCAGGAGCTGGGGCTGGGCCACTAAGGGTCAGTTTCCTGGGTCTGGAGAGGGAGATCATGAACCCGCTGCCGCCGCCTGTTAACTGTCTTGCGGCTTTCCTCGATAGTCCACAAGGCCAAGGCAAACGGCAGCCAGGTTCATCCTAGGTGGCCGAGGTAAACCCGCCACACACGTTTCTTGCGGGATTTAGGTGGTGCCCCTACCCGCACTCCCAGGACCTGGTGAGTCGACTCCTTGCCCAGGTGCTACATCCCACGACTCCTTGCCCTCGCCAGATCACTTGCTGACTGCCGCTTGGGCCAGCCTACCCCCGGCCACGCTGGGCGCTGGGAAATGAATGGGAAAATTAAAAAGACCCACGGGGTCAAAGAATTGGATGTGTGGGACCTGTGTGCACCCTGCTCATCTCCAGGGGCAAATAACCCTGGGTCCTCAAGGTTAGGGACAGCGCCTATTCAGCGGCACTGAAGTGGGCAAAGAACATGGGCAGCTAGGAGGGCACAGACCTCCCTCCTCATCCTTGCAGTGCGAGGCTGTTAAATGCATCAACTGAAGGCGCTGAGGTTCCCCTCAGCTCGATAATCTTTGGGTAAACCGAAATTCACTAACTCTCAGAGCAAATCTGCCTTTTTATTTTTTTAATGCTGAGTAGTAAATGCTGAAAATCTGTTTTTTTGAGTGTGGGCTTTTCCTGCTCTTGGGCGAAGCGCCTCCTCAGGAAGAGAGAGAGAGAGAGAGAGAGAGAGAGAGAGAGAGAGAGAGAG